GGTAAAGCTTAAGCTAATAGCGGTCCGAGAAGACGGACCTTTTAGAGAATCAGTGAAAAAGCATAAACTATCACTTTCATGTTTAATCATTACTCATTGAAATGAACTGAATAGCGTTTAGAAGATTTGTTAATTTTTTGTCTTTTGTTAAAAAGAGGGGTTTCAATAATTTTCAGACACACCTTGCAAATGTGCTTATAACGAGTTGGCACTCGGCCTTTTGAAGGTCAGAAGCTTCGTTCGGCGTGACTGTCCGGAATGATAAAGTGTAGGAAATGCCTTGAGTGCAGAGGGCTAAATGCAAACATGCTTACACACACATAAGATATGATTAGAATAAGTCCCTGGGACATTCTGAATGTTTTAGACCAATTCTGAATCACTAGAAGGTCAGTAGATAAGAACATTAGATTATCAAGGCTAGGGAGAGAGGTGTTTTGGTTTTCTGTCTCTTGCAGAGAAAGGAACAGACACCAGACGAGGTCACAGAGATGCGAGGATCCTCCGTAGCAGAGTCAGACACAGTGACTGCCGAGACATCAACTGGGTCCAAGGGTCATGGCGTTTGGGCTCCAGCTAGTCACCCACAAAAGGATGGATCCCATAAACACAGCAATAACCATGAAGGGGTTGGCGGAAATCCGGAAACACCAGACCAATGAGGTTCGAGAGGCTTTTGGGCAAAAAGGGGACACCTTCCTGTTCCTTTTTCTGGAGAATACACAGATCGTTGTTTGAAATCGGAGCAGAATAATCCCCTGATCTGTGTTACGACTGAAGGGTTGTCTAACCCCTAAGGTTGAAGTAAGAAGAACAGAGGATCACGCAACTGGACGACACTGGTAGCTGCAGCAATAAAAATAAAGGTTAAAAGCTCCTTAGACAGAGGTTCTAGTCTAAGTACATTTGAAAGGTATAAGGGGGCATTAAAATGGGAGTGGAAAACTGGAGCACCAAAATAAAGCTGTGGGAAAATTGGGAATGATGGGAGTGTCATCTGTAACTGCTGTTATGGTTGTAAATCTAACTTTGCTTGCATCTGAACTGCGTGAACACAGAGGTCATCCCACATATGGTCCACCGTTAAAGGGGGACAGAGGGCCTCAGGATCAAGAAAACCTGGACCTTGCAACCCTGGAGTGCATGTTGTAAGTGATCTCTTTCAGAGATCAAAAGGGGGAATTATTAAATTATTCTGTTATTATATGTTACCTTATATATGTAATCAAAGTAGTTGAATTAGAATACTGCTGTAGATCATATTATACCCTTTAAAATAGAGTGTGTGATCTGTATGTAGTTTAGTTCTCATTATACTTTTGAGTTAACAGAACATATTCACATATTAGTTCATTGGATAAATGTGCATCACTCTGTATCCTTGATCTGCTGGGAATGTGTTACACTGTTTTCTTGACATGCTTAATTGTTGAATCATGAAGAGAAGGTTGTAAGCAGGAGACTGTGTCTAAGACAGGGGAGATAGACAGACCACATTCCACACCCCCACCTTACAGAAAGCAGAGAAACAACTGCCGAGGTCATAACTTAGGCGCTGTAACAGAGAAAAAATGTGATGTTTTGGCTTTCACGACTAGCTGGGGGCCACTAGAGACTATAAAAAGCTGAGCAACCCGTCACCATTTTGAGACATGCTGTCGAACCTCTGCAGGCATCTCTCCCGTCCGGACGTTGTAATGCTCTTATTGTTGAATTGTATGGAAATAAATGATTGTTGATTGAGCATTGATACACCGAGTATTGTCCTTCCTTCAGCCCAAAGATTCAAAGAACTGCGTATTTTCAACACTACCAAACATTTTTTTATTTCTAGCCAGTAGAAGGAAGATACAATGTTTTGAATGCCCAGCTAATTAATTAAGAGTGGTCATTTTTCATGCATTTCAAGTAAATGCAAATTTACATATTTTGTGGCAGTGTTAATTTTTCATTCTGTTAAATTGTCATAATCAGCATGGAAGAGTTTTATATTACTGTAGTCATACGCACAGTAATTTGCAGATGTTCACTACATGCATAACAATCACAGTCAAACCTTATAAACATACTCCTTTTTTTAATCACACACAAAACAGTGAAAGGCAGAAAATCTGATCATCTTAAATAACTGAAAAAAATGGATAAAGAGGACAAGCCTGTTTGGATATTCAGCTCCCATAAATGACACACCTGTGCGCTCTCAATTGTAGCTCCTGCACTTCAGTGTTTTGCTTCTGTTTCATTTTGTCCTCTTTTAAATTAAATGGCAATTTCAGGCTCTAAATTAAACTTCACAGCATAAACTGTAAACCATCTCACTAGCTGCTAATCTTTGTTCATACTTAATCCAGTTTGTTTTCTTGTGTTTCACTGAGGTAAGTTTTACCCTCTCACACAGAAAGAAAAGATGCTACCTAATCTTTCAAAGAGGAGTGGTGAAGGTCACATGCAAAGGAAAAAAAGCTTTCTTCTCTTCCGTGCCCTCCAGATGCAGTTTAGGAAGTGAGATATCCTTTACTATGGTAAACTGATACTGATTTCCAGATCGCAGCAGGAGGATAGAGGAGACAATGAGGCACAAATCAGAGAAATAGGAAAGGTCTCTACCATGTATTTATAGGAGCTGAGACAGAAGTAAACATTTGCTTTAGTATTATTAAATGATGTAGTTCTCTTTCCATTTGTCAGTTGTCAGTCTGTCCTGTTCTACTTCTTGTTTGCCTTCCAGTTTACTGTCCTGTATCTGTTCTTGTCTTCATGTTTACCTCAGTGACTTTGTTTCTTGTTTTGGATTTGTTTTTTCGTAGTCCACTTTGGATCACTTGCTTGTTCTCTGCAGTCTTCTTATGTCTTCTTTGTTCTTTTTGTTGAGCTGGTGACTTGTGCATATGATCTAAGCCTGAACATGGAAATATTCTGTAACTAAAGCATGTGTTGTTTAGTTTTTGTATTTTGGCTGTTATTAAATATAATTACCTTAAAAAAAATTAAAGAATCAACATCTTTTTCTTCAGTTTTTTAATGAAGCAAAAAAAAATGTCACTTGTTTGATACCAAAAAACTGTCACAACAACATGAAGAAAAAAAAGTTGTGCTATACTTTCACCATGAAGGAATGTGAGTTGCAGGAATGGATGTGAGTTCGGACTCAAAAACAACTTTCCTAAAATTGAATGGAAATACTGCAGCCATCACAGACTTGTCTGACTGCTGAGCACTGAAAGCACATGATTAAAACACTGTTGCTTTTAAAATACTGTGAAACACTTTGTCATTTTTTTTGTGCAATATAATGCTGTGTGTGGTGAAGTCTTAGCCGCGGTTCCTACTGTTGCTGAAGGCTTTCATTTCAAATTAACATATCCACCTTCACATGCTGGCATTTTGTTTGCGTTTTGTTCAACAAAGTGCTGGAAACAGTCCTCAGAGAATTTGGTCCATACTAATATGTTAGCATTACACAGTTCCTGTTATCCACTGAGCATTTTCAAAGCAGTTGGAAACAGTTGGTAATTGGTGTAAAATGGATATGTTATGAAAGGAAATCCTTCTCTAGATCATACTTCTATTTTACAGGCATATTTCCACCTCAGTAGATTTAATTCTGTTACAAGCAAATGGGATTTTACAATTTCTCTTCAATTTAAGTGTCCTTTTGCAGCATCTATACATTCTCTTATATTCTCTTGTCTCCCCAGCTGTTCTATTCAGTCACTTTCATCATCTCCTGGAAATAGTTGAGCATTTTGGAAACTGTGCTTATTTGCTTTTTTTAAGGTGGACCTAAAGCAAGCAGCTTAGCATAAAAGCTAGAAAGTGAGAAACATTGTCAATGTTCACTTTACAAAACACATAATGTTTAAGAAAATGTTACTTTAAAGATGCTGAAAAGTAAAGTGTACAAATTGATACCGAGGTTATACACTCACTGGCCACTTCATAGGTTACAACTTCAGGGAACCTTGAGAACTACCTTAATTATTTGCAACATAGTTTAAGGAAGGTTTTGGATAAATTCTTAATACAGCATCACACCGTTGCTGCAGATTAGTCAGCTGCACACACATGATGCTAATCGCCTGTTCCACCACATCCCAAAGGTGCTCTATGTTCTTGTTTTCACCCAATTCTGACCAAACCATCTTCATCTGATCATCAAACCAGGCAATCTTTCTATTATCCAATTTTGGTCAGTCCACATGAATCATAGTTTCAGTTCCCCATTTTTAGCTGAGAGGAGTGGCACTCAGTGTGGTCTACTGCTACTATAGACCATCTGATTCAAGATTGAATGCATCTGGTCATTCTCCTCTGACCTCAGGCCATCAAAAACGTATTTTGTCCCAGGGAACTGCCACTCACTGCATATTTTCTCTTTGCCAAACCATTCTCTGTAAACCCTAGAGATGGTTGTGTGGGGAAAATCCCCAGTGAATCAGCAGTTTCTGAAATACTCAGACCAGCCCATCTAACATAAATAACCATGCCATGTTCAAAGTCACTTAAAACACTAATTCTTACCCAGTCTGCTGCAGGTGGAAATTAACCAGGTCATCTTTAACATGTCTACATGCCTGCCGTGACTAGCTAGGCAGATATTTCCATCAACAACTGAACTGATATACTTTATGAAGTGGCTGGTAAGTGTGTGTTGGTCTATTTCTTGGCAAAGATTGCATTTTTATTAGCAGATCTGTCAATTTCTTCATGCCAATAAACAATCAGTATGTAACCCGTGTAAAATGATCAATTATTTTTGCACAAGGGTGGCTGTAGCTCAGGTGGTAGAGCAGGTCATCTACTGATCGGAAGGTTGGTGGTTCGATTCCCGGCTTCCCCTAGTCTGCATGCCAAATATCCTTGGGCAAGATACTAACCCGAAATTGCTCTCCGATGCATTCATCGGAGTATGAATTTGTGTGAATGTCAGTTGTGCTTGTGCGAATGGGTGTGAATGGGTGAATGCACAAGTTGTGTAAAGCGCTTTGAGTGCTCAGAAGAGTGGAAAAGCGCTATATAAGAACCAGTCCATTTACCATTTACCACAAATTAAAAAAGTTAAAATATGTTAATTTGCAAATTCAACCATTCCTTGTATATAGATTTTCTCATCCAAGCTAGTTACTTTGTTTTAAACTAATCAGCTGCTGAATCCGTCTTTTTGTTGTTTTCTAAATCTTAAACTTATCATTTTACACTTTGCAAGCTAAGCACACTTCCCAGAATGTTAAACTAATCTTTTCTTCTCCTCTTTCCTGATGACAACTCCTCACAAGCTTTGTCTAGAAAACTCTTTGATTTTATCTTCATTAAAACAGCACATGAAAATTAAGAACCATCATCTAAGTTCTGACATCATTTTTCTCTCTGAAACCATTCAGTCCAACGTTACAATACGTAGCGTGCTCACCGACTGTTTTCAACAACTTTTGTTGCTTTTAGGAAAAATAAGTACAAAAGCATACTATTAAAAAAGGTCCCAGCATCCTCTCAACAAGACCGGCACATATAACAAACATTATAAAACGATCACGCAAACGCACACATACGCACACACTCACACATGATGCTCTTTACCCCTCTCTGTTTAGAAGTAAAGAAGCCAGAAAACTACAGCTGATAATAAGTGTTCTGATGTATAGGATAATATTTTAAAATGACTGGTTTACAAAAAAGTATTAATACAACTTGATTTTTCCCTTTTTTCACCACCAGAGAACTTGAAAGACAAACTTACATTAGAAGAAAACACACAGCCATTGTCTTGAAATAATAATAAAACAAAATATGATATTACAAATAAATTAAAAACAGCAATACATTACACTGATATAAGCAACCCAACTTGGTTTGAGCTTTTACATTCAAAATCAGCCCATTGTTTGGTTTCAAGAGTCACACTTTTGCCTTTTTCAAATGTTTCCAAGCCAAAGTATGGCGCTTTAATTTAAAAAACTTTATCTTACTGCTTTAAAAAGATGGAAAAATTAATTAAACGAACCACAGCTAAACTGAACTCCAATGTACTGAAACTTAATTTAAAGAGAGAAGCAGCAAACAAATGTACGTTAAATCAGCTGCTCACTGAAACTACATAGTAATTATGGGCACGGCTAATCTCTACCTCACAGACCACCAAGTGGTCACCGCCATCACCCACACATCCTGCCAATTCATTTGATGTTGAAAAGTTTATTCCTTTGTTCCCCTTAAGACTCCCAGCACTGCACACCATTCAGCATCTAAAGCCAATCAGTCAAACATGACACTAAAAAAATAAAAGATGATATTTTTAAGTTGTGTTTTTAATTATCAGTGTGTTTTATTTCTCATTAGTTGCTTGGGGAGTAGGAAAAATATTCAGTGCTGTAAACAGGTTTTTGATTATTGCTGAATTAGTCTGTTTTTACTGTTGTTTAATGCTGGTGTAACCGAATGGAATGGCAATTATTTTCTTAATAATGTGCTTTAGACTCCAGCATGACAGAAATTTTCCCCTCACTTCCACACTTTAATAACCAGCTATCTCCACATGGTGGCAGCAGTGACCACAAAAGGCAGAGGCAACAAAGAAAACGGGGAGAAAGAGAGCAGACCAGCTGCAGATCGAACCCGTCCCTGCCCGTTGTTTCTGTTCCACTTGGACCCGTTTCTGTCTCGGCCTCGAGGCGGCTTTGCAGGGTTGGAGGCGGGGTTATTTGAGGGTTTGGTGTAGGGTGGAGAGTAAGGCCCATAACCTGGCCAGTCATGATTGTACCTTTCGCCATGATCTCCACCTCCTGAGCCACTGCCTTCCTCACCTGAAACAGGAAAAGCACATTTTCATCTGAAATATGGAGCAGATATAAGAATATCAAGTCAAAATTTTAGGAACACTCACTGTCCATGAAGTCCATGTCCTGTCCACTCATAGCATGCCTCAGTTTATTGGTCACCACCCTCAGCTCCATGATCAGCTGCCTGGTCCTCACATCTGGACGTGCAATATCCACTTCCACCTCAGGGTTATTGATCTGGCTCACCAAACCGTCACCTGTCACATCTGGCAGGTACCTGAGCATACGCACAAAGAGGCATTCACATACATAGTAGCTTATTCTCTGCTATTTAATTTCCTTAAGAACACTAAAGGTTTATGTGCAGTGATACCCGTTGTAATCAAATCTTTAATGGCTAGGCTCTAGAGATGGTTATGGCCAATCAGTCCCTTTGCTTTAGTCCAGACAGAAACATCTCAGCAGTCATCATCTGATGGATTGCTGTGACATTTTGTACAGACACTAACAGTCCCCAGAGGATTAATCCCACTGACTCTGGTTTCATGTGGCTGCCTGGACCACTGGGCTGACATTTTCGGTACAGAGCACAATGTTTCAGCAGCTATTGGTTTGTTTTATGTCAAGCTTTATTGAATTTTTAATAATGCATGTATCACTTTTTGCTTATAAGACAGTTAGCTGCACCATATATATTTTTAAAGTTACAATCTGGAATGCCCAAAGGACATTTCACAGTTATTATCACTTATTGTATATGTGATAATACAAGATAATTATAGCACAGCCAGCACATCTGGTTTGTGACTGAAGATGGATGTGCTTTTATATAAAATGCTGACTGATGACGGTGGACAATCAGTTCCCCTCTTTCTGTGTAACACACTCACTAGTGTTTCTTCTCAAATGAGCTTGATTCATTGGTATGTACACAGAACAAGCAGACCCAGGTAGAGAACATGTGGGTGAGTGGCGGTGGCATAATTAAATAAACTCAGTTCCATCTGTTGCATCCTTCCACCTCTGCACCATCACTCACTCACTCCTCCTCCTCCTCCGCCTGTACAGACCCTCCCCTCAGCAGCCTTTTGCTCTGATCTCGCTCACCTCCCCCGGGTCTGCCCGTTCCAGCAGCGGTCCTCATTAGTGACGTCGGCAGCCATCTTCTCATCGTTGCAGATGGTGTGTGGGAGGGACACCCAGAAGCCCCGCATGGGCCGCAGTCGCTCTTTCAGCTCGGTAACCTGTGTGGAGGTGGAAGGAAACTGGCTATGACTCAGACATGGTTTTAAAGTATCTTTGTATGAAAGCTGCAGGGCTGATGCTGGGTAAAGGTAAAAACCTAATACAGCTTTGCTTCTGGGTCAGCTCTTAAACGACATTTCTTTTCAGTCTTATAAACAGATATAAATATCTAATACCCCCTTCGTCTGTGCTCTGACCTGAAGCTCTTTTTATTTAGGCATTTCTATCTTGCAAGACCACACTATTCACAGAAATTCTGTCTGGGTTCTAACCACAGGACTCTCTGTTATTAGTCGCTCTGACTTATTTTAGTGTTTTGGGGTTTTTTTTTCCCTTTTTTTCCCCCTCTTGATCTGAATCAGATTCATGTGCAGAGCAAACATGTGCGACATTCTTACAGTTTTTTCCTGATATATTTAAAGACTGCTCAACACAAAAGGGTAAATTGTGCACCATTAAAACAAGTAGTATCTATTTCTGTATCAACAATGTTCCAAATTGCTCACTGTAACATGTGAAAAGTGGCACTTATCATGAACCCACCAAAAACAGTCATTCATCAGCATCTCGAACCACTTCAAAGGGTTTTATCTGGTTTCAATGTAAGCACTTTGTCTCTCTTAGTGAAAAAGCACTAAATGGCCAATGGATGGTACTTAGCAAGCACCAAATGGCAAATACAGCAGAAATACAATAATTTTAGGCCTTAGCTGATTTCTTTTCTTTTTTTTTACCTTTATTGACAGGTAAGTGCAACCCAAGATTAAGAATTCCTACTGGTACCACGTCACCGTGCTGTTTGCTCCTTACCAATCGATCCAGGTTGGTGCCTGCAGCAGTGGTGGGTTTCTCTTCAGGAGTGTAGGTGCGGAAAGGCCTCCTGTTGCCCCCGGACTCTTTGGGCGAGCGTTTGGACCTTGCTGGAGCTGGCCTGGGGTTTCCACAGCCTTGGAACACCTGAGGTACACAGCAAGAGCAGTTTTAAGATTAAGATTAAGAAGATTCTTCTATGTTGTGTCAAGAAAACTGTATATTCTCGAACTAATATGTGATTTCGTAGAATTTCTTCTAACAACACCTAAAGAATAAGTGCAAAAGGCTCAGTGCTTTCTTCTAAGAGAAAAAAGGTAGCTTTGATGTAAGTTTTGAATTAAAGCTTAAAAAAACACCAGGGACCTTTGATTTCTGGGGAAAAGAGTCAATGACGTCTACAGACAAAAATGTTGTAACTGAACAATGTTGAAAAAGCTCCCCCTAACCTCAACAGTCACGCTCTATTAGAGTGCAGTCGCACAAAGCTGGATTGTAAAGCAGAGAGCTGTCTGTTCCTTAAAGCACTACCAACACAAACCAGGAGCTTCTCTGTTTCTAACAAGACGTGGGTGTCTCTCTGGAGGATTCACTCCTGGGATGTCTGCCATGTTTTAATCATACTCCGAGGCTATCATGTTCTCATCTTTACTGCATGCTGTCTCATTAGAAAGATTAAAAATGAAATTAAACAATAATTAAGATTACAGCTTTTGCTTGAATATCGAAGAAGATCATTTGCATGTCCTCTCAAAGGTTCAGTTAACATTTCACTCGATTGATTCACAATTGCCAAACTCTCGGAAAGCAATAAAAAAATATAACAATGCTCATTTGGTTTTCATTTTTATGTACTGATCGTCTGCTGTGCTTTCTTACTTTGCTGGAGATGCTGACACTGTTTTCCTGCATGTGCATAATGGCCTCTGACACTTTTACAGAGATAGAGTCGGCTGCAAGCTCCATGTTGAAAGGCCCCTCCAGCTTCTCTGAAACCTGGTACAGAGCATCTGAAAAACATAGAGATGGTAGGGTGATAAAGTTTGCTTTGACTTTAGTTCTCACTTTCAGGTAATATACAGAAGAAGAAAAAAACTGTGTGTAGGTGGGCTTCTGTAGAGCCTGATGAATGTCAAGACAGTGGTGTGTCTGGAATCTCCCCCCTGGCCAACCAGCTAAAAGAGTGTGATTTACATCTCTTTAAGGGGTGTTCAGTAAAATAAAGAAGCAAGCTGTCACAATATAAAGCGTGAAAAAGAGAGGAGAATGGTGGTCAGACAAAAGGCTGCATGAGGGTAAAATGGTTTTGAGTTCAGCAGGCATGGATGGAGCGATGAAAGGTAAGAGGAAGCACTCCAGATGAAAAGAAAAAATAGAGGGAATGTATGGGTTTGATGAAAGGAGAAAGGAAACACAGGAAGACAGATCAATTGTGAAGGAGCAGAGAGGCATGAATGATTAATGGAGGAGGAACTCATTAGGGAAAAGGACGTGAAAGTAAATGAGTGACAGGGGCACAAGAAAGGATGCTACTTTTTGGGATGTCTGGTTTAATTATGATGAGAATAATTCAAAGTGCTTAGACGCTGACTCTCCTATGCTTAAAGATCTAAAAATGATGCTGAAAATCAGGTTCTTCAAAAGCTTTAGCTTTTTAAAATGTGCCATCCACTACCTATGAAATCACATATAAAGATACTCCATCACCCACCAATGAAATTGTTCCATTCGGTGTCCAAGTCAGCCTGATTGGCTAAGCAGCCCTTCATCACGTTAAGGCACAATGAGCGGCAGGGGCGCACGGAGGGCATACCTCGACACAGTGGGCAGTACCACTGACGCATCAGGCCACGCACACACTCTGAATCTGCAGTTAACTGAAAGCAAAGGACAGAATAAAATGGATTAAATACATAAACACACAATGACCATTACTTAACAAAGCGGTTTTACATATTTGCAGCTCCAAAAGTCAACCACAGCTGAAGAACTTCAAAGTTATGTTTAGAAAAACTAATTTACTCAGTTACCAGTTCACACTACAGGGCCAGCAGTTTAGTGTGGACTTGTCTGGATAATGATTCACTTCCTGCTGGTAACAAGATGATTTTGTTTTTGCTTCAAAGTTTAGATTAAATGTCTGATAATCTAATAAACAGGATTACTCTATAAAGTCTAGACTAACTATTGTGTTTTTGAGTGACTAGCCATTTAAACAAGAACATAATGAAAGGATCGCAGGGGCGATCGTGGCTCAAGAGTTGGGAGTTCGCCTTGTAATCGGAAGGTTGCTGGTTTGAGCCCCGGCTTGGACGGTCTCAGTCGTTGTGTCCTTGGGCAAGACACTTCACCCGTTGCCTACTGGTGGTGGTCAGAGGGCCCGGTGGCGCCAGTGTCCGGCAGCCTCGCCTCTGTCGGTGCGCCCCAGGGTGGCTGTGGCTACAATGTAGCTGTCATCACCAGTGTGTGAATGTATGGGTGGATGACTGGATATGTAAAGGGCCTTGGGGTCCTTAGGGACTAGTAAAAGCGCTATATAAATACATCCATTTACCATATAATTGCTTGCCAGTATGCTTTAGACAGCAGAATATCATCAATGCCATCTTGGTATTAAATATTCCACTCAAGATAAGCATGAAGAGATGCTGAATAAGAGCCACTCACCTTTGTTGCTTTGTTGACAATGTCCCGACCAGTGGCAAGCCCTTGAGATAACGCTCTGGCTGCTATGAAAGCCCTCGACACCTGAATGTCAAACCAAAGATAACAGATTAGGGTCCCCCTTTGCCATCCTGCTATATAAGTACAGTATATATGAGCTCTGTAGATTTTACTATATACACACTTGTACACGAAGTTTGCGAGGGACATCCCCAAATGGTTGCAGCTGTTCGGCGTGCTTGCTGACACACTCTAGGTAGTCCTCACTGAACTGATACTGGGGGTTTACCAGAGAGAAGACCCGCTCCACAAGTCTGGACCAGAAATCTGACAGAACTTCTGCCAGACTCACACTTCCCCCTGTGAACAATAGAGTAACAGTTATACTATATAAGAATATGTTTTTTTTCTTATCTGATAAATGCTTCGAAAAAGAGTCACTGCAGTTAGAATGGATCTCACCACGACAATGCTGTTGGAGAGTATTTAAAGACAGATTTCTCTCATCTTCTTCCAATAAAAGCTATGTTAAGCTATAAAATCCATCAGATAAATTAGTTTGGTAAGTGCGGCCATATTTGAACAGCTAGAAGGACAAAAAAACATTCTCAATATTTATATGCGCTGTTTATTTTGCATTCAGCATACAAATGACTAACTGCTGAAGTGTGTGCATTAAAATTCCAAGGTTTTTGAAGGAAAGTACAGAAAAATACTTTTATAAATACCTGATTGTTTTACTAAAGTGTTTTTCTCCTTGGCTAAACACACAGTACAAGCTATGGAGAAGTCTGATTGACATTGCTTTAAATATCTCACTTAATAATTTTTGATGCATTTGAGAAACAACAGTTTTGGGGGAAAGATGGAGATTTTAGAGCAAACTCTGTCCTTGCTTCTTTAAATAACACTCTAGCGAAGTCGCATGTCTCACTTTGGTTAAAAATATTGTAATCAAAAAAATTTATAAAACTACATAAAATTTATAAAATTTAATAAAACTTAATCCAGTTGATAAATGAACACTTTTTTTTTTAATGATAACATAAATCTGAACACTAAATGTTTTCTGCTTTAGAACATGATAGTATCCATAATGTTTTGTCTGCTTGAGTGTTTCTACAGAATGAGCATGTGAATCTCCAATCTGTAGTCTACTATACTGCCTTAAATTAGCCATACATGCTGTTTGGCAGAGAAGGACAGGCTGACTTAGCAGCCTGCAGATGGAGGAGTCAGTGAGCGGCTGTGAAGCCAAAAACAGAACGATCCGGAACAAAAATAGAAATGGTCTGGCATCTGTGGGAATCCAATTCTCGCTCTCCTTTTTTCCTCCAGTTTTTCCTGGCATGTCGGTTCCCCTCAAAAGACAATGATGCTTTTTTTATTGCTGTCTATAACTGCTGATTTACCACAACATGGACGTGGACTGTCTGAACTATACATAAATGTCAGTGTTGGAAGGAATTATTGTACCTCTTTAAACAGAGATCAGTCTTTTTAAACATTTCCCTGCAGTCATTCTTTCCTCGTGGTGGTACTGGAGCCCACTGTAGACTACATATGCCAGGCAGGTTACTTAAATTACTGTTTTAACACTGTGGAATAGAACGTGGATTTTTCCCTCTATGTTGTTTGGATTGGAAGCTAGTGATTGCCATTTGTGTTTTGGATCAGTAAACCATCATTATATCCCTAATCTCCTTCTTTTATATGGCAGAGCCAACCAAAGTCCACTCAGCAGCAAGCCTGACAACCCTGTGCACTTGGTCACTTACTGTGCACTTATTAGGGAAGTTATTTTCAAGGATTATCTGAATTTAATTTAAAACTGCATGTGTAGAACTTGCTAAAAACCATGTACAAAGTTGATTTGTGATATTCTCCTTCTCTCAGTTTGTTCTCTCTTTGATTATGTATCACTTCCTGTTCCTGTTGTTTTTCTGTCAATTTAATTAAAAACGTATACGTAACAACTTTTTTCATAGAGTAATCTTCACATGCTTTATCCAAAGCATACTCTCTGTTGATTCACTCACTAATTACATTCACAGTATTCACTGTCTCTTTAGGGATTTGCTAGCTCAACTTGTAGCCAGCTAGCTAGTAGCATGGCATTTTCACCTGTCCCTCCTGCACTTTCCTGCTCCCAGGGAAAGTGTTACTCCACAGACTCCTTTAGTAATAACGATACTTGTAATGAATGGCAGCAATCTTCCACTCCAGCTTGTTAATCAACCAAAGACTCAGACAGAGTTTTAATTCATTTCAAAGCCTGATGCTTCACCTTGCCCACCCGTGCTGGAAAACTCATAAACCAGTCATATTTGTTATCATTTATAATTTCTGTCTGAATTCTCAGACTTTTTATCTGATTTAGTGCTCAGCTCAGATAAAATAAATATTGTGGGTGATTTTAACATCCATATTAAATGTATTATTAGACTCAGTTGGCTTCTTTCACAATGTAAAAGATCCCACCCACCACCTTAATCCCACTCTAGAGCTTTTTCTGATATATAGCGTTATACTGAACATTTATCAGCATTTCCTTCAAACCCTCTTTTGTCTGATTATTTCCTAATAGCATTTAAATTTACAATGGATTACACAGCAGTAGTATATAGATTTTATCACAATAAATGTATTTATGAAAGTACTGTAACTAGGTTAAAGGATATAATTCATCCACTGTCATCTTCTCCTATGCCTTGTGCCAACACAGAGCAGAGCAGCTACCAGAACACTACTCCCACAGAGGTCGATTATCTTGTTAATTATTTTACTTCTTCACTGCATACGACTCTGGATAATGTAGCTCCTGTGAAAAAGACAGACACCTGCTATAACTCTCAAATGTGCACCTTAAAGCAGACAACTCATAAGCTGAAGAGGAAATGATGTCTCACTAATTTAGATAATCATTTATCCTGGAAACTTAGTTTGCTGCTTTATGAAAAACCCTCTTTCAAGCTAGAACATTTTATCACTGATTTATTAGGGATTAATTAGTGATTAGAGAAAATAAGAACAACTCTAGGTTTCTCTTTCAGCACTGAAAGAGTACTACAGAGCTCTGTTGTTGCAAGCATCACAAATAAAATTTTAACCATTAAAGAAAAAATTTGTCATAACCATCACACAGAAGTAGCATTATGTGCAGCTACTTTCAGTACCATTGATATTTATTTAGACTCTTTTTCTTTCTTTCCTACCATTAATCTTAAATGTGATCAACCTATTTCTATTAATCAGGTATTTACCACAGGCCTTTAATCTGGCAGTTCTTACACTGTTACTTAAAAAGCCACGATTTGACCATTTAAATTTATTCATGTAAATGGAGAGTCCTCTTCATTCACTGAGGTTAATTATGAAGTTCCACAGAGTTCTATGCCAGGACTAATTCTGTTTGCATTATACATGCTTCCCTTAGGAAGTATCATCAGAAGGCATAGCATACATTTACACTGCTATGCAGATGACACCCAACTTTATCTATTCATGAAACCAGATAATACACACTAATTAGTTAAACTGTAGGAATGTCTTAAAGAAATAAAGACCTGGATTACCTCTAATTTTCTACTTTTAAATTCAATAAAAACTGAGGCCATTGTACTCGGCCCTAAAAGCATTACAAATACAGTATCTAACCAGATAATCTGGATGGCATTAACTTGACCTCTAGTAAGACTGTGAGGGATCTTTGAGTAGTTCTTGACCAGGATATGCCCTTCAATGGGCATATTCATGCCTCTCTTCCTTGGAACCAGCTTTCAGTTTGGAGTCATGAGAGTAAACTTTTAAGATTAGGCTTAAAATTTTCATTTTTGATAGAGCATATAGTTAGGGTTGGATAAGGTGACCCTAAATTCTCCTTTAGTTATGTTCCAATAAGTATATGCTCCTGGGGGATTTACACGATGCATTAAGTGTTTCTTCTTCAGTTGCCTTTTTCACTCGCTTTTTTTTTTGTTAGCATGTGTTTATACACCTCTCTGCGTTAAATTTTTAGTGATTCATAATGTTTCGGTCTCTTCCACAGCATGTCTCTGTCCTGTCTTCCTCCCCTTACCCCAACCGGTCGCAGCAGATGGCCCCGCCCCTCCCTGAGCCTGGTTCTGCTGAAGGTATCTTCCTGTTAAAAGGGAGTTTTTCCTTCCCACTGTCACCAAAGCATTTTCTCATAGGGGGTCATATGACTGCTGGGGCTTTCTCTTTTTTCTTTATTGTAGGATCTTTGCCTTACAGTATAAAGTAATTTAAAGCTACTGTTGTTGTGATTTAATGCTATATAAATAAAACTGAATTGAACTGAACTGAATTGAATTATTTTACAATGTCTCTGATCCAACCTAGCTGACATATCTTTGCCAAAATCATTAATTATCTCTATGACTGTCAAGGTGGACAAAGGAGTGTTAAAACCAACCAGAATAATATCTGCGAAGCTCCAGGAAAAGCTCTTGGAAGACGTGTGCGTTCTGGGTGAAGAGCAGGCCATAGGTCTTGGTAAACATCTGGTTCATAGACTTCTCTGAAAGGTCTATAAGTTCTTTGAAGAACTCTGTGCAGAGACAGAAAAAGCAGCGATTAGCTACAAACTGGTCACCCACCCTCTTTTTCTCTAATATCTCGGCCAGGTTTCTATGTAGGCGCTCCCTCACCCTCCTCCCTTCCCTGAAAGATTAACAGCTCAGATCCTGCACACTGGTAAATGGGTTTAACAAAATGTACTCTATTTAAAATCCATCTTTAAGACTCATATGCAGTCTCCCACTCCTTAAGCGTCTTTACATGACTCATCATTATATATTATATAAAAGTGTGAGGAAGGGTGATAGCAGTCTACTGCAGGTAGGAGGAGAAAGTGTAAATTCAGCTCTGTACTGTGGCTGCTACAAACCTGCAGCTGTAGACGCATTATTTGAAACAATGACTGATAAAATCTCCCAGATACAGAGCACTATAAAAATATTTGGGTTTTCCAAAAACTTTATACAAGTTTATAGATTATAAGTCATTATAAACTAGTCTTACAATTCCAGTGAAACCTTTTTTCATAAAGACTTCTATGTCTGTATAACCCTGGCAAAATCATAGCAGCATAATCATAGTTAATTCAGCTTAGACAAGCAGGTTATATATTTTTAATGGGAGACCTCAACTGGGATTTTCTCCAGTTAAATATGGTGTTTAGCTGCATTATGGAAAATGTTATTTAGAGCAAAAAAAAAAAAAGTTACAGACTAAAATGCAGGATAGCTTGGCCCTGGTTGCTTGATTTGTATCTAGTTTTATAATCAGTCTCTTGTGAGTCGCCACTTGTATGAAAATGCCTCACAGTTGCTGAAATTACATAAGTAACAAGCATTTTAATATATTTGCTTTGCTGTGCTTCAAGCATTTAGCTGTAATTTTAATAGCGCAGAAGTATCATCTGAATTAAATTAGGAAGGTCATTTTATAATTAAAACTCACTGGTTTAATTTTGGGGAGGGTCATTTTTTCACAAACTATGGTATCAAAAGTAATAACTAGCTTTTAATCAGCTTCAAATCAAATAATGTTCCCATTACAAACACAAGAACTACTAAGGTGTCAGCCTCTCACCGTCAAACCTGCGGTGTCTCTGGGTAAAGGTGGTCAAGAGAAACTGGCTGTTGTCTGAAACTGCTTTGAGGAAGTCCCTTTCACTCTGCTGGGCCAGAGTCTCCTCCATCTGACTGGAGCAGCAAGTGTAGTCCTGAGGACAGAGCCGCAGGTGCTCACCTGGAACAAACATAAAAGAAAGGCCATAAGAGAAAGCAAGGATTGATCCCACAGTTAAACCTATGGTGAGAAATCTGATTCCCTTGGGGTTTTTTTAACTATATGTAATTATATGGTTCTACTTTATATATGCACTTGGTTTTGTGAAGCACTTTGTGCTGTTTTTATGACTAAAATGTATTATTAAGTGCAAGGCCAATTTCCATTATGGAGGTCAAAGCTGATTTTTTTTTAGTTTGAAAGTCAATTCCTCTACTTGTCAGTCCATTCAGTGGGGAAATCTTATTAAAGATAACGCCGTGGTAGAAAAAATTTAATTTCCATGCATGAATTATTCAACTTCAATCTGTCTTTCTTTGTCAGCCCAGGTTGGGTCTTTGATATGTCTGAGGTAATGATATATGCAAACCACACACAGGAGGGGGAGATGTGGGGGGGGGGGGGATAACACAGGAGTACTCAAAATATGCAAAAGCCTTGAATTCTTTGTTTCTATCATATTGCATCTGACATGAATATTGCGCCTGTTAATAGAGCCGAAAGTCTGATTCCTAACTCCACCCTGGCCGATGTTCCTCTCTGCCTCTTTTGTTCTCCCTGTGTCTCTCACTATTAGCCCTCTCTCATCCCTCTATTTCCATTGCTAAACTGCCTCCCTTCATCCTTCACTCTCCCAGCCATCTGCTCCCCTGGCCCACGGGACAGTGAGCCAAGACTCAGGCAGTGATAGCCCAACATACACACACACATGCACACACACACACCAAATAAAATCTATTCTGCAGTTGCCTCACACACTAAGCTAAATTGCTGTGAAAGAAAAGGAGGGGGGAAAAAACACTTCAAACATACATTTTATTCACAATCACTTTTAAAAGCAGCTCTATGTGTGTCTGAGAGGAGCAGACACATCCGCTCACTGATTTACATGCAAAGCTAAACCTCCAAGAAGTAAGCTACATCTTCACTCTGTCATTTGCACCCTCACATGATCAGACATTTTTATTTTGAACAATTTAACATCTAAAATCCACTTTCTTGTACCCCCCTCCTCTGTTCTACCCCATCACCAACTTCAAATTATTCAAAATCTAAGTGTTTGTAATCCGCATCCAATCTTCTCATTCTCAAAATAAGATTATCAGCGGTGAACAGAGCCTATGGGTGTATATGCAGGGATTTAACAGTGAGCCAGTAGGCAAAGACTAATTAGGGGCGAGGTTCTTTGTTGCACCGGTGTTGGCAATTTGCTCATCCCCTTAATCATCCAATTTAAACCGCACAGAGAGGAGGAGGGGGCGGGTGTAATTTGTTTTAAACCATACTGCATTGTTTCTCTTGGGGGGTAAAAACTCACCGTGGTGATCCTACAACGGCTCTCTGGGGCGTTTAGTGAGTTTGGAGCCACCTTGTACTTCTTTATCACTTTTCTACAGAGATTTGTTGCGTTTGTGTTTATAGGGCATTTCCTGCTACAATATTCCCTTAAAGATGCTTGCAGTGCGGAGCAGTGAGTTTACACTGACCTTAATGTGCATTATGTTATTTTTATCCCATGCTGATGCGCCTACATTTCTGCTGCGACATAACTGCACCCTACCCTGAAATTTACAATTAAACCTTCCCTATATATATATATATATATATATATATATACATATATATACATACATATAACATTTTTTTTTAATATATATTTTTATATCATATCATTACAGACTGCCCTATGTGGGTCCCGAGAACTGTATGCTTTAATTTATTCCCGCTTTGCGGTATAGGAACCGTCTTACCAGAAATTTGAGTCAGCGGAGCGGTGCTTGTGCTGTACCCCTTCTCCAAGTACACCTGCCTGGTGTCCGAGCAGCTTCTCCCCGCTGCAGCCAAAGGGCTCCGGGTCCCTAAAAGGGCAGCAGCCGTGCAAAGAAGTACCAGCAGCCGACGACTGGGAAAAGACACCCTGGTATCCATCCTCACTGCAGGACTTGGTGGGGGAAAAAAAGCAGACTCCAGTAAAGGATAAAGCCAGACTGTGGTTGCAGCAGCTTATAAATGAATGAATGTCTGGCCGGTTTGGATGCACGCAAAAGTGTAAGGAGTAACGGGATCCCAAATCGTCAGTCGTTTGAAACAGTCATAGTTTTTCCCCAATAAGTGCAATGAACATCCGGGCCGGGCTTTTACATCACAGACAGGCCTGCGTTTCCATCGGCCGTGTTCATTTAATTTGTCCTTCCTGGGAGACCCGCTGTTGTACGTAAATACATGGGAGTGTGAAAGAGGCGCTCCCGGCCCACAGCATCATCTGACAGGCAAACTGCGTCAAACACTCGGGACGTAACCAGGGTGATACCGGAAGGAGGGCTGCTGTCAAAATAAAAGGGGATGCTTGTAGTTGATGGGACAGCCAGAAAGACTACGTAAGGACATAACAAAAACAACAACCGTATAATCATGTTTTTATTACAATTTTTGAGCATTTGAAAGAAAGAGTCCCAATTTTGATTCATACTTTCATTCATTTCACAAGGGAAACTGTTTTACAGCAGCAGCGAAAATAGTAGTCTACAATAGATAAAGAGTATAACTAAAGTAGAAGTGCCACAATAGTGCAAAAACTGATGTATGCATGAGTGATTTTTTAAAAATTACCTCAAGTTAAACAAGAGTAAATGAATGAGCAGGAGACAGGTGTAACAGTGGAGCTGCAAGGAGCAGAGATGGTGGATGAGTTTAAATACCTGGGGCAAGCCATCCAAGCAACGGACAGTGAAAAGGGGGTGGAGTAGGTGGAGAGGAGTCAGGGATGATTTGCGACAGAAGGGCAGCACCAAGGGTCCAAGAATTTTTTTTATAAGACATTAGTGAGTCCTGCTATGATTTATGGTTTGGAAATGGTAATGCTGACAAAAAGATAGGAGGGAGCAGCTTTAAGATCCTAAGATTTTCAGTCGAAGTGATGAGAATGGACAAGGTTAAACTAAGTACATGAGAGGGACAGCTCAGGTTGGACAGTTTGAAGACAAAGTTAGAGAGGCAAGGCTACATGTGCAAAGGAGGGATATTGGACAAAGGATATTGAAGATTGAGCTGCCAGGCAGGAGGAAGGCCACAGAGAAGATTCATGGATTTAGTGGAAGAGGACATGAAGATGATTGATGTGATGGAGAAGGATCCTAGGAATAAGGTGAGACAGATGAAGGCAGATGATCCACTGTGGTGACCCCTAAAGGGAGCAGCTGAAAGAGGATTTATCAGCATACATGGAAGCTAAAGTTTGTCTTTATACTTTCCTGCTTTTACATTTTCTATTGCAATAACTGCTATTAACTAACTGTTATTTCACTGGCTGTTCTGTCGATCATCTTTGAATTCCACTATGAATGCATCTATAAGTCACCGTTCATGTGGGATATTGCCCTAATATGTTGGACAAGAGGATCCCTTTTCCCAGAGAAACAGTACACATGGTCTAATATTAGTTATATGACAGTCTGCATTATTGTTTTGTAATCATTGGCTGTGTCAGTTCAGCGAGAGAGTTATTTGTAAAGAAAACTAATGTGTACACTTGTCTCCATTTTTATTTTGTTAAATGCGAACAAAATATAGCAGTACATGTCTGGCCAGAAAGAGAGCACCAATTTGTTTATTTGGTAGTTCGATAAAAGGCTTCAGTTAGTTAAGAGTAAGAAAAAGAAAATTCCGTTCACATTTGCAGTTTTGTCTGGTTATACAATATTTGACATTTTAAAAAACAAACAAAACACAAGTTTTTGCAAATATTTGTAGGTGTTTTCTTGTTTTTCGGGTTTTTTGTACTACTTGTACACTAAAGTGGCCCTCCAATGAAATGACCGTACCAGCAGTGGCCCACAGCTCATTTAAGTTTGAGATCCCTGCTTTAGATTAATCTCATGTGATTTACATGAGAACATCAATATTTTATTTTGAAGGTGAAGACCAGAAGTTGTGTTTCACCCAGGCTGTTTTGACGCTGGTCACAGCCTTTCAAACACAGAACAATGGACCAACTGGGAACTGAGGGGTGAGGATCCTGCGGTGGCGGGGCAGGGACCAGTCAACCACCTCAGGGTGCTACAAGCTATGGATGCAACCATGAAACCTATGAACACAATATACATAATGAAAACTATCTATATGAACACAAGAGTAAATTAGCTGCAAGGTGAAAGGGTTGCGAGTCACGGAGATATGTTTAACTGGTACCATTTATTGCCAATACTACTAGACAACCATGCAGAAGAATTGACCAATGAACATCGAGTTATTTTCTGCCAGGACCAATCACCTTCTAGTAACAATGCACAGCGGCGCGCTTTCGGCAGTTCGCAGTTTAGGAGGAAGAAAAGTTAGCCAAGGCAGAAAATTACTCAACACTAACTATATTATCAAGTGGTAAACTGATATCCTTAATCTGCTAGTGGTGGTTATTGAGTAGTTTCATTTGAAATACTTTAAGTGCGTCTTAAGAGCTTCATAAGTTGAGTTTATCAAACAGGCTAATGAAGTTTAGCTTGTCATCTTGCTAATTTTATTTTATACTGTATCTTTCTTCACAGCCTCCACTCCTGAATATAGTGAGTCTGGTACATTCCTTCAGCCAAAATGGCAAGTGGGAGTTCAGCTTTGGACAGGTAATGCTGATACTTTGTGTTAAAATGTCAAAAGGTTAAGAGAAATTAAAATAATAATTCTAATTTGACAGCGTTCATATTAAAAAGCATTGTGAAAGTTGCTACTAATGCTCTGGGTGCTCTGGCTGAAGCTAATAGCTTAAGGGTTGTATAATAATTCTACTTTTTCATAATGATACCTGCCTGTTTTCTTATCACCCTTCATTTAAATTCATCACAGTAAAGCTGATTTTTTTTTTTGTCTAACTTGTCAATTATTTCCCTTGTCTTTTAGTCTTGAGGAGTTAGATTCCCCCACTGACTCAGGCAGTGACTATGAGGCCACCATGAAAGGAACAAAGCGAAGAAAACCAGCAGTATCTAAGCAGGTGGATTTTTGTTTTCTCTTTAAAATAACTTTCTGCTTTTTTATTAGTGATTGTAAAAGATAAATCTGCCATCACAATAGCTGCAAATGTTGTATTTATAGACCTTTCAGAAATTCCATTTGTGTCACTTGGTGACTGTCAGATGAATACAACTACAACAGAAAAGACATTACATGCACAGCTATTCGCTTTCTTCTCTTGGCTACTCCCCTCAGGGTTTGCCACAGCAGATCATCTGCCTCCATCTCACCTTGTCCCTAGCATCCTCCTCTGTCACACCTGCCCTCTGCATGTCCTCCTTCATTACATCCATGAACCTTCTCTGTGGTCTTCCTCTTTCCTCCTGTCTGGCAGGTCCATATTCAACATCCTTTGTCCAGTGTATCCATTATCTCTCCTCTACACATGTCAAAACCATTTCAAGCTTGCCTCTCAAACTTTGTCTCCACATTCTTAATGATCCTCATTTGGTGGCCATATGCCCTACCTTGATGCAATCCTCCCCATTCATCCAGGCTTTGAACTGATGTTAAAAGTATACTAGTTTGTCATATTGTCACTGGGTTTTTCACCAAGATTAAAGACATTAGCAGAAGCATCAGCAAAAATCAAATGCAGCTATCTGCAAGTAACATCCACATCATATCATGTCACCTAGACTTGTTCATCAGAAATATGCGATTAGGTATAAAAGACCTCTGAGCTTTAGATGTCCATGCTGATGGTGTATTCACCATGAAGAGCCTGTAACTCATCACTGATGGTTTCTCACCCCTTTTACACCACCCTTCCCAAAGTTGCTGACTTGTTGACTGTATTGTTGCTGACGTGCCTCCCATGTAAGGGAGGTGAGATTGCAGTAAAACAAAAAGTTAGAGTGCTCTCAGCAAATTACCAATAAAAAAAAGAACAATATATATCTGCCCACATCAAACTGACTCCACTTTCTCATCAAGTATAAATGTTATAATCCTTTTTTTTTAAATGACACTTATGCTTGATTCCCATGATAGTTTTTCATCAATCACTATCCCTATGTATTTGTATTCATTTACAAATTCAGTACAGTTACCACTTACCACTACCTGTTGTTGTCCCTGCCTGATAGCAATAAAATTAAAAAAAAAAATCTTTTGTTTTCTTGGTGTTTAACTGAAGTAAAACATCAAAGTCATCCAGATATCCACAATACTTTGCTCCAGGTTCTGTGGCCAAACTGGTAATCACTGTGTCATCAGCAAAAAGACAACAACACTATAATAGATGTCTAATATACTTTATTTTGGCATGTTGCTTGTTCAGGTCACAAGCAAAATGCATTCTAAATCCTTAAATAAATCTCTTTCATCTCAAGCCACCCAAGAGAACCAGGCATAATGCTGCACTGAAGGGGATGTCCAGCCCCAGTGGCAGCTCAGTTCCCACCCCTCCAGGTCCTTCCCCACAATCCGTCTCCCAGGGGACATCCATGCAGCTCTCCGCTAGATCTGTTAGGAGCATGAACGAGGAGAGCCAGATTATCAGCGCAAAGGATATCTATGATGCTGTCTGCTCTGGAAAGAGTGCCATGGTGGTGAGCAAACCCCAAGCAGAGGAGTGTAGAAGGAAGGGGGAAGGTAGCTTAGAGATAAACACATGAAGGGAGGGGGTACTGAATGAAGCATGTGTAATTATAAGAGAAAGAAGCTGACAATGAGGGGTTATCATGTGCTGTCAGTGGCTGACTGATGTGATCCTACACAAGTGACTCTGATACATTAAGAGAGACGGGTGTTCTCACTGGACCATGTAGTCAATGATTGACAGCACTTGTCTATCCCAAGTATTGTTCTTGCTATAGCTGCTTTTGGGTAAAGACTACAAAAGAAAGGCAGCATAACAAAAGAAATACAGTAATAAATTGTCTGTCACTACAGTGTAGAACTGCAAGACAATGCAGACGGGGACTCTGGGGGGAGG